TGTTTATAATAAACATCAGTTGTTGGCATTAAATAGATATAAATTATATGTATGAGCGTATAAAGGCGCTTATAAAAAACGCTTATTAGTGATCATTCTATGATTCATATAGATGGTTCAGGCTCAGGAATTTTTTCAACTTTAACCCATGGGAATGTTCAATTAGGGACTGGCATGGTCGGTCTGAATCAAAAACATGGCTGCTTACAGTGATGAACTATTGTGGAACTGTATACATGTGTGAATATGAGTAGAATCTTGAATTGAGGTTTGTTCTAAATATTTTATGGCATGCTTGTCATTTACTGTTTACTCAGCTCCCACAGAGTTGGCCGAACATGAAGGAGAAATCTTTTGTTTTCAGTCAAGATTCTTGTTCAGGATTGTGTTGTGTTTGTTTACTTTCTCATTGGAACAAATATTCAGGCTGAAAAGTGTCCCAGTGCCAGAAATGTGACTTACATTCTCAATCTGTTCAGTCTCTGCAGTCCTGTCTTGGTGTACCAGGCTTTTCCCTGTGATCAGCTTTTTAGCGGTAGCTGGTCCCTTTACAGCTGTGCTCAGGCCTGGATGTGCCGTCAGTGCTGGTGCGTCCCTCCAGAGTCTCCGTACCATCTGCACGGACATACGGCCATGGATCAGTCTGACGCTGTACACTCCTATAAGATTTACCCCAGCCCTTACTTCCTTAAAAGCGGTGGTACTAGTTATTTGATCGTGTTATTTTATGCATGAAAATATGGTGTCCAGCTGTAGCCCAAGAAGCAACGTAGAAGTAGAAGCGTTTCTTAAATGCTGCAGAATTTTTATCTTCAGCAGCAATTTTAGCAAAACCTTTTCAAATTGCACGTTTTTTCCTCTTTATACATGCAGTGTGATTAGTGGTTTCTGTTTATGATCACAGCTCTGGGGATTAAGGGAGCACACTGCCACTCTCCAGATCTGTGGCAGTATCAATCGAGTTAAATTTGCTGTTCGAGGAAAGAGTGTGATGGAAGGCCGCAGGTGACGATGGTAAAACTCAATTTCGTGCCATGATGTGGCGGTGACAACACAAGGTTTAGAGTCACACCGGGGCCAGCAGCCAGCAGTGTGATCAAGGACGGCGCTTGACATTCAAACTGGGCTCGGTCTTTGTCCCCTGCAGTCACAGCCAGGGACACAATCTAGAATGCATGTTGTTCCTGTGAAGCTTCCGCAGCACAATAAATGAGAGTGCGTGACTTTCAAAGTGTTCAGGGGCTTCTCATTTTGCAGCTCAGAAAAGATGTTCCGTACGTCGGTATCTTTTGTCATCCTCAGGACCACCTGCCGTCTCATGACTAATGGTTGTGTACCCAAGTACTCCGCTTGAACTTGGTCTGCATTTGTCCCTTTGTCCCATCCGTAACCTCTATACTCCTGTGATGTGGTCAGCTTTAACAAGCTTCAAGCCATGCCATAATCATTTCCATTATCATTGATTCATGTGAACGACTGCAGGGGACCGGCATAACACTAAGAAAAAAGAAAGGGAGGTTTGAAATAAAACTGAACAAAATAAAAAGGTAAACAAGAGATGGTACTCCCTAGATGCCATTTTAAAATTATATAATTAAGTTTTTTTATGTACCATTTCAAATTAAGTTAAAATGATTATCCACTGGGGACATGGATTATATCTATCAGACAAAAATCTTCCGTCTCATTTATGACTCTAAATCCTCCCTTTCTATGTTTGCAGTTACCTGGAGGACGCAGTGATGAATCTGGACCACAGCGACCCCATGATGCGCGATCACATGACCGCCGTTCTGGCCCAGGTGCGGCCCAAGCTCTACACGTACCTGCAGCAGGACGCCCACAGTGCGCTGAGCAAGAGGGCGCGCCGCCTCATGATGATGCTGCAGGGCCTGGTCAACCACTAGTTCGCACACACTCACACACGCGCTGGGAACTCTCCAAGCTCCCTGGTTGCACACGCTTCTTTGTGTTGCGGTAAAGGAAATAGTTGAGTATGCGGCACAAAGGACAGCGTGGGATTGAAAAGATTCCTCCCCAGACGGATTTTTTGGTTACATTTTCATCATGCTGATTTGTCTTTGCAGTAGCCCTTGGAGGCAACGTTTTTTCTTTCATCGTAAAGGCTGATTTTGTTGAAGCACACGTCAGCAGTTACTAGACAATATGAATGTCAGCCCAAACAAGTCAACATTGGCAAAGAATCCAGGTTTTGTTCTAGGCTGGGACTGCTGCAGGGCCTGTCCTACAATGCTGTTGTGCCTGCGATAGTTTGCGTTCATACCATCTGGAATTTTGGCATGTCACATTTTTTCCCCATACACAACAAACATGGAACTTGTTCAACTGTAACCAAGCAACCAGAAGTATGTCTTGGTGTTATTTCCTAATGGGCTCGAAAAAACAGCACCTTGTGTCTTCTTCGGAAGTGATTCGAATGTCCAGATGTTTGCAAACGGAGCTGAATGCTGTCCAGAAGCCCATTATGAAGCCCTCCACATTATATCAAGGCTCTCTCTGCAACTGATACGTCCTTTTTTACTATTTGAGAATCTTGGATCCAGCGTGTCAGTCGTCCCATGTACAGTTCTGTCCAGTGAATCAACCAGATTATGCTGCGCTTTCTTCAGTTGCTCTTTCATCCGCAATTAGTATTTGATGTGTATTCTTTTAAGAGGTGTCTAACTAAAACCGACTCTTCTTACTGTTATTATGAAGATAGTATTCATTTTATCAGGATCTTTCAGAATATGGTAGTGAATTAAATGTGCAGTTATGCGTCATAGTCTCTAGGAGGCAGCACTTGGTTGTAGTGCAGCAATCCTTCCTGCTTTGCTCTTCTTTTTGTAATACAGAAATCATTCCTGGTCTTGAAGCTTCTACAGACTCTAATTTCTAAGCAGTTCTTTAGGTTGAAAAAGCGTTTTATTTGTTATTGTGTAAGATAATATATGTACAGCTCATGTGCAGAGATCATAGTTTAAGTATTGGGGATCCAGCTATTTGTGCTGATACCTGATCAAGTTTGAGTCAGTTCCATTGGATTTGTCTAGCAAGTGCCTTATCGGACAGTCTCATTTGTCTAGATTAAGATTCCTTTACGTTTTGTTATTTAAAATATAAACGGTTTGAACCAAGTTGCAGCACTGAAGAGGACTTGTTATAGTAGACTACTGCTGTTTTTCTTCTAGGCTTTGGAGTGTCTCAAAACACATGCAACAAATACGACTAAGGCTGCGTCCTTTCTGTTCATATAAACATCTTGTTCTGTTGTAACTTTTACAGTTTTACCCTAAACATTTTTTAATAAAAAGGCGTTCATTCTTTTCTATTTTTATTGTATTCATTGATCTCTTAATCTCAAATGTTTCTCAAACTGTGGTATGAGCAACACTCCTGTAGACGTTTTATATCGCTATCAGAATTATTTTCTTTGGCTCAAACATGTAATATTCTACATTATTTTTATTAAAATGGCTTAGTTGAAGCATTCCATATGTTCCCAAACCTGTTTTATATAAATCAGATATTTAAAGTTATCTTTTTTCTTAGCCCTTGTGCTACCCTCGGGTCAAAATTATTATTTTTAATCACTGGTGGGTCAACCTGAGGATAGCACAAGGGCTAAAAGTATTTGTGTGGGTTTGTATCCTAATGCGAGGGCACGGCAGGGACTACTTGAATTTAAAGTATTAACTTACTAACAGGTTTATATGGGCTAGCATGATGTAATACATTCTTTAATCTTCAAAGTACTCTTATAAAATAAAGGAGATATAAGCCTTTTTGACTTTTGGTCCAAAACTCTTCAAATATCTACATGGTGAATGAATGAGCCTGCACATATCATTTTCACAGGAAACAAGAAAACAAAAGCACGTACAGGGGTTGAGGAAGGGGTTAGAGGAATAGAAATGCTTATTAACCGAAACCCCCCTCACCCAGAAACCCCTGAAAGTAGATCAGTTAAAACAGTCTTTCCATGAAAAAACTAAGATGTCACTTTGATACAACATTAAGTCTGATACCAGATGTGGCCCCTAATCAGCTTTTATGTTTTTGAATCAAATCTCAAAAGTGCGACGCCTCGGGAAAACAAAAGAGACTCAGTGTGTGGGGTAGGAGATCTCAGTGAACCACCATGTTTGACCAGTGGTTCCCAACCTCTGTTCCCTGTGTTCGCCTATGTCAGGGGCCTGCTGTTTAGGGAGAAAACAAATATTTCACATACAGGGGCCAAGGGATCAAACTCGGGGCCACAACTGTTTTTAGGCTTTCCTGTTGCAGGGTCTTACAATATGAAGGTATTTTGATCAATTGTTACTATAACTTGAGCACAAAATGAGTACCATGCGTGGACTCAGCCAAAACTAACCCAAAAGTGAGAATGACTTTATTGCAAACGGACCAAGTACTAGTATGGTTTTCTGTGGTCAATGTTTATAATCAAGTAATCAATGTTGTGTGTATATTTTTTTTTCTTCGGATAATTTCTTTAAACAAATGTGTGAAATACCAAGACCAGCATAAACCAATGTTTGCAAGTTTTAAAGTACCAGTTATAACACTACACCCCTAATTGGGAAACATGGAATCATCTTACATCTATTATCCCAATTTTAAGTAAAACAAACACAGATCACATGTTACATCATTTATACAACTCGATCAGTCCAAATAGGCTATTGTTTGTATTGGTCCACTTGTCCAACTGTTGCATAATATTTTAATCTTTCAGGTCCAATGCGCTCCTTCATTCGTCCAACAGTGGGGAAATTTCAGTGTTGCATCACCAGTTACAGAACAGTATGGGAAAAAGGAGCCCACAGCAAGAAATAAATGAACAATAACTCTACTATAAAAATATCTACTTTTAGTGTAATCAGGAAGCAAGTCTAAAATATTCAACTTTAGCATCGTAAAGAAGCAAGAATTCCAGCTCTTGTTTTGATCTCCTCCTTTGGTGGCGTGTGCTGCTGCTGCTACTACTGCTACTGCTGATGCTGCTGCTGCTGCTGCTGCTGCTGCTGCTGCTGCTGCTGCTGCTGCTGCTGCTGCTGCTGATGCTGCTGCTGCTGCTGCTGCTGCTGCTGATGCTGCTGCTGCTGCTGCTGCTGCTGCTGCTGATGCTGATGCTGATGCTGATGCTGATGCTGATGCTGATGCTGCTGTTGATGCTGCTGCTGATGCTGGGGACGCGCCCCTTCCATTCAGCGGCGCGCGCGCAGGTCCCACTCACTCACGCACAGGACTCACGCAGAGGAGTACAGCAGCGTGGGACTTTTGCTCTGAACGCGTGCCCCGAACCAGCATGGCATCTCTGCTCAACTCCGCCTGCCTCTTGTGCTTGCCTGTTGCACTTCTTCTGAGTAAGTGGATTATTATTTCGACTTTCTATGTCTCATTTTGTTCTTTTTTTGTATTGTGCTTCAGTCTTGTTGGTGCAGAGTGTGTTACCGCGTTCTGCTGTAGCGTGCGTAAAACTGTTGTAACCAAAGATTTGCCCATAGCTGTGATTAATCAAGTTCTATAGCGCTGCCATGTGAGATTATTGTTTTCCCAAAAGTGACAACGCGATTGCCCTAGGGGGATAAACAATCAAACAACTGCTGCTTTGTCTACGTCTCTGGATAGTGTAAAAAAAAAGAAATCGCTCTGCCTTGACTTGCAAACTCTTGCAACTATGCTGAAAATTTGCATTAGCGAGTATAAGTTCTCGCTAATGCAAAGTCATTTGTTTAAAAATGTATTTGAATGAGTAAAGTTGGATAATAAGTGCAGTATGTATAGTATGCAGGTTTGTTTTATCCAAGACAAAATATTATGCATTTCCATAAAAAAGCTCCAGTGTTGAGCCTGGCAGATTTTTTTTGGGGGGGGGGGACACTATTCCAAGTTTTTACCATCTCCACTTTTGTAAGTCTCACAAAGATTGTATAACGTGCGCGAATCTGCTTCCTTTCTGTTAAATACAATTCATCATCATTGTAAGTGTCAGTATAGGTGCTTGGGGTGCTTGGGTGCGTGATGATGTGCGGGAGAGAAGGGAGCACCCACGGGACCACGGCACTGAGGGGAATATAGAGAGAAGCGGGGAGAGAGAAATGTGGCAGCAGCGATGAGATAAATGATGAATGAATCGCATCTGTCCAACTCCTCCTCCTCCTCCTCCTCCTCCTCCTCCTCCTGTGCGCGCGTCTGTCCCAAGAGGCGCATCTGACTGAACCTCCACACAGAGCGCTCCGCTGTTCCACTACTGCTGCTGCTGCGCGTCCCCAATGCGTGTGCGTGACAGAACAAAGTGCCCGGTCCTCGTTGGGCGAAGTGTGACGTCGGTGCGTGTGTGGCTAAGCGTGGACTCATCTTTATTTATGTCCAGAGTTAGAGGTGACGGTGGTGGTGCTCATAAGGTGACGCCAACGGTGCTGTCATCCTTTCCATCAGGGTCCTATTTTCAGGGTGGGCCAGATTGTAAATGTCATGTATCGTTCAAATAAGTACAGTGGCTGCCAAAATTCATGCATTGATTCAATAATTCTTGCACGCTTTCTCTAAATGATACAAACTTTCTTTCATGTCAGTGTTTGTTATTCTATATTAAATGTTTGACGTATATTTTATATCCAAACAACCAATGATTTATAAAGGAAAATCATAAAAATAGTTAGGGGTGTCCAAACCTTTTCATACCACTGTAGAATTATGTTTTTGGGCCTCTAGGGCTCTCCATCACATTACTATTTCTTAAAGGTTTTGAATACTTTACTGGTTGTATTAGAGGTGGGTAATATTGCTATGTATATTGGAACTATTGCAAAAGTTGAGTGAAAAGTTATACTGAGCCAAGTAGAATGAAAAAATCTTTCTATAACGTATAGAGTTCAAATTCCTGAATGTATTTAAAGCGTGAGTGCATAGACCTTGTGTCAGTGCCGCAGCAAAAAAATCGAATTACTATTATACATATTGTATGCATTGGTCTTGGTGAATGAATGATTGGTCGAGATCAGAGGAGCCAGTGGCAAAGCATAGTAGCCTTTTTTCTGTCAGTCTGCCCCAGGGCAGCAGTGGCTACTGTAGTAGTAGTAGTATAGTTTACCACCATGAATGAAGAGAGTGAATAATGGCATGTGGAACGTCTTTGAGACCTTGTAAAAGAACTATGCATTACATTTATATGAATGTATTAATGTTGGTCAATATCGCCCCGCTCGCTACTGCTGTGGAAATGGTTAAAGCAGGAGAAAATGCAGAGTTAGCATGGAAGAATGTCTGCTGCAATTAATCATAGGAAGTAGACCATTCAATCTTTTACTTACCTCTACAAAGGATATAAGCACGCATCGTCTTGCTTTTTAAGATGTTAATGACTTTGAAAATGGAGTATAGACACACACCGACCAATGAGACAATGGTGAATATGAACAACATTCAAACAAAGACACATTATTTTAGATAGTTGTACATGATGTGACTTTTCATTCGATTTTAGGCAACTCATTTAAACTTCTACTTTACTTGAGTAATATTATTGTAAATATTGGCACAAAATGACTAGTGAGGCTGCATAGCAAAGACAGCCGCTGTAGCAACAAAGCAGTGCATAAAAATGAACAGATCTCTTTGTTTATGTCCACCATAACTCCAGGCAAGTTTCATTCTTTTGTTTTTACCATGGACATATTTTGAGGTGTGCTTTTACAATGTTGTCTTCTCTGCATATGCTCAGTGTGGTTCAGAGTAATGCGTGTTGTTATATAAAGTCATATTTCATCCTCGCACTGTAAGTTGCACATCACATACACAAATAAAGCATGACATGAGCTTTCTTCATGTTTTTATAGACGAGTGACTCCGGTGACTCCTGGGACCTCTGCATCTGCTCCAACCACTTCTTCTTATTGCTCTTATAACTTACTTCTTTCATCGCACTTTTTGATCTTTCCGCTCGGCTGTTGCGAACATCGACACGTGCGGTTACATTTGGGTTTGTGTTGCAATGTAAATCTCTGTGCAAGTACTTTTGGAGCTTCTTGCTATCTTCCTCAGCCTTTTATTATACATGAAGTGGCATATATCAGACTAATTGATTTCGTTGTTAATTGTTTTTCATTGCACATGCAGGTTTTGTTAACAAATCGTGAAGGTTTATCGATAGTTCTATAACACTGGGCTTCAAACCAAAATGTTTTCTGATGTTTTTTCTTATCAGTGCTAAAATCTTGCCACGCAAAGATCATTGTCAGGATTCAGACTATTGTGTAAAGCACTTTGAGTGTACCTAGAAGGACGCTTTTTATATTTTAAGCATAACTGTTTTAAATCTCTATAGCCATGTGTTTTTTTATGGCTCTGCTTGTATGGCACTGAACAAAGAATGAAAACAAGTTTATTGTGAGTGGGCTTGCATCTTCATTAACCTGACTGGCACAGGTTCAGAGTACTCCCTTCAGAGTAAGGGAGGCTTGTTTCCATGGAAATGTTTCTTATGGCTCTAATCATACACAATATGGCTTTATACCATTCATCTCCATGGAAAGAATAGGGATTTTAACTGAAAAAGTCCCAAGAGATAGAGTGATTTAAAAGTAACATTTTGAGAACAAATCAGACCCCTGAGTTGGAGGAAGTGTGTCTGCTCAGACTGCATCCTCCGCTGACCCGGCAATGGGTAAAGGGGAAGAAAATGTCTGAAGCAGCCAGAAGGGACGGATATTGCGAATTATTCTTGGCTATACATGCTGTAGTGTTTCACGTGTTGATTATGTACACTTGTCCCTATCAAATAAATGTCTGCATGTGAAGAGCAGAGATGGTACCGAACTGTTTTGAGCACTTGAAACTATAAGTTGGATATTTTTAAATACTATTTGTGGTCTGGTCAAGGATCACAGCTTGATCTTACAACCGGGTTATAGGGTTAACAACCTCCAATACTGCATGCTGAAATGTTTAGTAAGTCTAATATGTACAAAGTAGTCTCAAAGGTGCATAAAGTAGTCTATTTATGTACTTGTCTGGTGCATACTGGGTACTTTAGCAAATGTATTCCAATATGGTTTTACTGCAAATGGCAAATAAAATTATTCTGAATCTGAAAGCCAACACAAGTTTTTGGTCATCGGTTCTAAGGAGCAGCTTCGTCTTTGCAGTTGTAGAAAATTCCATACTGTTTTTGTACTTCCTGACCTCCTTCCCCATACATAGGCCCATGATAACTCCTACAGCTATATCACACACTATCTCTAAAACATTCTTTCCTTCCACCGCTCTTCTGTAAGCCAATAAGGGTTGGGAAACATGGTTTGAGAGTGAAACTGGCTGCTTAACTGCACTTCTAAATTGAGTGTATTGTAGGAACACAGTGCTCATTATAAGCCCGTAGCCTGCTCTCTCTCTCTCTTTCTCTCTCTCTTCTCACGCCTGCAGTGTGTAACTAAAAAAGAAGAAGAAAAAGACCGGATAAAAGCAGAGGTAGAGAAGGGTCCCTAGGGTGCTCGTCCTCCGCGCCTGCATCACCAGCACCCCGCCAATAACCACATTAAAAACGGTCCATAGGCGAAAGTGAGATTATATTTGGCGTCTAATTGTTCTCTTCAGGAAACGCTCTCCTCCACCTCCTTCTCACTGGGGTGACTGCAGTAGTTTTCGAGTTTTTCCTCCCCTGAAACTGCAGCATACGGCATAGACACAAAGATTCCTCATTAAAGTAAAGTTTTATTGAAAAAATGCCAACGATGTAGCCTCCTCTCTCCTTGTCGTTTCGTCGCTATGCTGCACTTAGATCACACACACACACACACACACACACACACACACACACACACACACACACACACACACACACACACACACACACACACACACAAATGCAGCGCCTTGTCTCCTTTCCTACATCCTAGCTCCACTTTGTGCTTTTCAGCCTGGTCTCCGCGTATCTTCTGCCGCATCTCTCATCCGCGTGTTGCTTTCATCATGTCATCTGCCCGTTCGTCTCATCGACCACTTCCATTTTTTCTGATTAGAGGGATCTTAGTGAAAGTGCGTAGAGAAGATATACATAGATAATGGGTGCTCAGCATTTGCACGTTACAGTATGGGCACAGGAGACCGCCAGGCTTCAAGGTGGACGTTCTAAAAATAACAGTTATCGCACATTATATTACATTGTTGAAGACGAGCTAATTGGACGTTGCCTGTTTGTGGTTATATGGATTGTGATCGTACAATGAAAGATGCTGCTTATGCATTTCAATATCAATACAATTTCAAGAACAACAGTTTATGGGATTGAAAAGAAACAAAATAATGTAGTGCAATATAGCACTTGGGAGCTGTCCAAATGTCTACCAAAGGCATGGTTTTCGAAGATCAAATATTATGTCATTTTGTCATTTATTGCTTAAATATGAACTTGAAGTGAAGGTAGACTTACTGCAGAGAAAATGCAGCGTTATCACAGTATTGAAGTGGTAGTAGTGGTTTAGTTAAATGTTGTTTTTAGTGGACACACGTTCGTATCAAAGCTTCATTGTAACAGACAGACGGTAGAAACAGCAGAAAAGAGTTGCCTGCGCACAGTGGTTGGGTGCACTCTTAGAGATAGGGTGAGGAGCGCAGTCACAGAGGAGGAGCTCAGAGTAGAGCCGCTGCTTCTTGATTTGAAGAGAAGCCAGTTGAGGTGGCTCAGGCCTCTATTTTGCATGCCTCTTGGACACCTCTCTAAAAATGTGTTCCAGGCATGTTACGTCGAGAGTAGAGCCTGTTTCTCAGCTGGTCTGGAAACGCCTCAGGATTCCCCCGGATGAGGTGGAGGAAGTGAGCGTGGAGAAGGAAGTCTGGACGCCCCTTAGACTGCTGCCATGCACTGATAAAGCAAAAGACATGGATAAATAGATGAATAAGTATGTGATGTCCAAGTATTCAAATGCACTGGCACACAACTGATCATCACAAGTAAAAGGTTATGACTTAAAACTATACCAGTATTCAATCATTTATTTTCTATTTTGTGGTAAACGATTTTTCAATGTATTGCAAGAAGCACTTTGCAATGTTCTTTGAATGGACCCTAACAGGAACCATCCTTCCACAAACACTTTTTGCTTCCACTTGAGTTTTTCCAACAGCCCTTTGGTACATGCTCTATTAAACCCCACTGTCTTTGACGTCAAACCATTCCAAAAAGCAAGACAATGTTGTGTAACAGCAGATGGCCATTACTACATTTCCTCTATCTCCATGCACCTTTGCTTGTTATATAATCCCCGTCTTCTTTCTACTCACAGAAGGCATACCTACAGTACCTACAGTGTATACTTCCTCTCTGCTCAGTCGTACAAAGAGCACTCTGAACAGGACAT